GAATTTACTGGGGTTCACTCAACGGTACACATTTTTTGTAAATACTAGAATATGAGAAAACGACAGACATTATACAACAAAATGAAGAGGACCATCTTCTTCGATCATTCATCATCATCCACATGTCCATGACGTACGCAGATTGCCCGAACCGCAACCACCTGATATCTCGCTGGTGTTCGCAGCACATCGGATTATTGTNCAGCTTGTATCACATGTGCGTAGTGCGAGATCGGGGAGGCGTACTCATTACTTCAATTAAATCCCACTCAGTAACTACCTTGTTCACATATGTGATGAAATTTTAAAGGGCATACTCACTCATACGCTGTTTGTAGCCACAAATGTGTATATTTGACCTATGGTCAGCCCACCATCGACCGGTTAGTTTCCGCTTTTGCAGAAACAACGCAAAACAGCCCAAATCAGATGCCTGATTATGTAATATGCTGAACTTATCCCCTTAAATTAAGATGAGAATATCGATTTCATACTAATCCTTCTTTGTTCACTTCTATGTGAAATCTCCTGGGTTTTCAAATACCCGGGGAATGACATGGAATTCAACCTAACGCATTCTCAAGTCATACCCAATTAGCCCTAAAATAATTGTGCCGGTTGAGAATTTTAAAGTTCGGCAATGTGAAACATGATAAGGTGGTTCCATGAACACAGAATGGTCGTTGGCATAAACGTCTAAATGAAGGGACAAATCTCAGACAAATAGAGACCAAATAAATATTCCTTGAGATATTTTGTGAGAACTACCATGACCCTGTTTGCATTCTGGGTTTGCTCCATGGTTTATCTTCACGTGGAGAAGCGTTTCAACTACATGGGACAAAACCAGGTCGAAACAGTTGTCTATTGTTATCCAGCTTTTTTTTTATTTCACACTGCATTTGCTCTTTTCACGACGAAATTCATCGTATAATATGATCAACTGTTCATGGTTTAACAGAAGGTTTGCAAGGAAATTCCACAAGGACGGTTTGAAGCACAAATGGATTGAACCAATCCGACATCGGAAACGCGCATATAACACGTGATGATTGCACCTGGATCGCACGAATATGCATTTGATCGCGACCAATTGAAAACGAGATTATGTTTATACGAGAATCGTGTTTGAAGGTTAATTTGAATCTTTGCGGTACATTTGACCAACGTGTGCCAAAAAATCTGAATTGTAGATTGAACTTCATTTGCAGATGAAAAAGGAATCCCTGGAGCAAGTAAAACATCACCGATTGAGTCCGTACCTTCAGAAACAAAACGACTGAGCCGCATCTTATGTGACCAAATATTCCAATGGCCTCGGGACCGATAAGTGATTTTGAACAAAAACACGGTAGTTAATACAACGAGGCAGTGTCAACGAATGCTCAGTCTGCTTACAATTCATCTGCAGCGCTACACAATTCACAACTTTGCACTTTAATACATACTGGAAAAGGTTATCGATTGGGGAAAAATGATTCACTCCGATGCACCGATTTGCACTTGAAAAATCAAAACCGCGGTCATACTTCTCAAACGTTTTTATATGTAACTAGAGATCAGTTGTAAAGGTTGGGCGGATAAATGGAACCAGAATCACGCCGTTTTGCACGCGAAAGAACTGGTGAGTTGAAGGGCCATGAAATACATCACCTCAGACCGATCGATGCTCTAGAATTAGGCATTATCAACTGCACTGAGTCGAATCGATGAGATCCGTCTAAATTGGATTGCCTGATTCAACCGTGAATTTCTCCTTCAATAGCCCCTTTCTGAAGATTTCGCTGTTTTGATTAAGTCGGGATTCCAATAGTGAGTAGCACTAAGCACAACCTGTGTTTCAGCGCGACGAACTGTGATCGGGTGATGAGTCTGGATGCTATTTGAGCAGTTACTCTCAAATTTGAACGCCCAATCTACACGGGTCTATCACGGTTTATTGTAATCGCCCCGAATTTTTCTCACTATGAACCTGGTGACGTTTTCTAAAGAAAACAAAGGAGTATTCTGAATCACACAGCACAAGAGCGTTCTAACAAAAGAAAGCACTGTTTACACACAGGAGCTCTGTCGTAAAGACGCATACTGGATTTCCGTCAGAATTGCTGGACTTACCTAAATGTTTTCCTTTTAGGATAAATAGAAGTTTTATGAAACCCTCTGTCTTGATATCACGCGATATCAAAAGCGAACACGAGAAATACGTCCTCGACTTGCAATCGAAGAAGCAATGAGTTCAAGAGGTTGAAATTCTGAGAATTTGCTGAATACTGGATAGTAAAGGGGATCATACAGGTGTTGACCAAACTCGTGCAACGTCACCCTCATTTTGAAAATCCATTTCAGCTTGCAATACCATAGTTATATATAGTTGGCTATGTGTAAAATGTATTTATTCCTGACTTTATCTCCAACATCTATGTTCTCAGTTCATTTCTATCACCATTTAAATGTGCGCGACCTTGAGTGTCGCTATAAAATTTGCAGTAGTTCGAAAGTTACAGCTCTGATTTAAAAAATACTTTAGGCAAAGCAGCATGGGTGTTTATTCTTTTTAATAGATGATTCCTGTCCTATGAGAGTTTCTATTAGGTTGACGACACGTATTCTAAATTTCTACTCTCTTTTCATTCAGTGCACAGTAAACAAGCAAATTACTGAAAATATTCTAACCTAAGTAAATTGCTAAACTGTTAGGCTACAAACTAATCACGTAATATCTCCAGTGCTGGAAGAACTGAAAACATAGCCCAAGAAAGACACAAGTTGATCTTCGAAAGTTGACCTTGAGATGTGCGGTTCGTTGAATAAGCATCCTGTAGTGTCATCATGCCCAAACCGGATGAAACTTTCAAAACGTTTTGGCGAATAATTAAAGCCGAGAATCAACTTAAACGAGAAGCGCGTGAATCTGTTGGCTCAGTTGATATCTTGTGGAAGCTCATCGATGTGAACATAAATCCAATTTGTTGTATATTCAACGAAATTTCCCCATCAAGACATAAACCGAGAGAGAGAAAAGCAGCCATATCAAAGCATGATGATGGTTGTATTTGATCACAGCAGAGCAGAGTTGCACATGTGGCATGTGGCTAACAGAAGCAAAGATATAAGTAGATATTATATCAAATGTGTTGCGTCTGATGTGGGGTAATATTATATTCAATCCCGTGAATGAGGCTGGAAAAACGAAGCATTGAGAGGAACAAATGTGATGACAATCAGGATTTTGCACGAGTTTGGTCAATGCTTGTATATCCCAAGTTATTTTGATATCGTAATGAAACAAAATTATGTTGATGGTTTTTTCATCCAAGAGGGTAAAGGATACTGCAAAATAAACGTTCCCGTGATTTGATCACTCTACAATCCGACTTCTATCGTAACCGTCATTTTGTTGTTTCCACTGGGTCATCAGAGGATGACAAATCGTCATTCCCATCCCCGCACACTCGGAACGC